AGCGTCCGGGTTATGCTCCCGCCGATCAGGATCATTACCAGCTTATTGCTGTGTACAGCAGCTTATTGAAAGTTCGCGGTCGAGCACGTTGTCAAATAAAAATGCGATGTTTACGTCCAGCTGCGATTCACCGTTGCCGCGAAACCTGCCGCCGCTCTTCGGCGTTCCTAGATTTTTCGATTCTAGAATTTGCAATGATTTGATACTAAGATTCTAACTATTTCGAAGTATTTGTATATTTGTAGTCTAACATTCCGCGATCGAATCTTTTACACTTTTTAGACTTTGAATCTTTCGTGATCCAAAATTGTTTACTTTTTACATTTTGTATGTTGGCTGTCTTTATCGGGGGGGAAAATGGTAAATCCAAAAGGGCTGAGAAAGATCGTTCCAGGTGAAGGGGATGAAGAGCAGGGACTAGGGAGTCGGTAACAAGCTGCCATGCGGCCATGGCGTATCTTGCAATTTGTTTGCCAGACATGGTCATTCATCGACGCGATTCTCCTATCTTCCATGAAGATGAGAGGAGTCCGACTGTGGGGATCGCGACTATCGATAAGCCACGCCGTCGAGCGAATGGGCTGCCTTCGCTTTTAAGTTTAGTTCATTAGCAGCCTCGCCAGGTGTACGATGCCGCGATTACGCCGACAAATTACAGTGAAATCGTGCCAGACGTCACTGTATCGATTTCGACAGTCTCTTTAAAAAGGAAATGTTTTTTCAGCGATTTGAAACGAGTTTAAAGAATTAATAACAGGACATTATAATAAATTAACAATTAAGCGGCCTTGTGCCTTAAAACAGTTTTGGGGAAACATTTCATTTTTTTTCTCGTGACACATTTTTCTGATAATTAAATTAAATCAGATCTCGGCTATCTCTTCAACTTTCTCTCTAATTTTGATATTAAATATTCCTTCTACGTGAAGCAAAGATCTAGTTTTTCGTCGAGAAATAATCCAGCACGTTCGAAGCTCATCAGGATCTAATCGATTAGCCATTAGATCGAATCGTAAACTCCGCAGTAAGTGACGCGCGTCGCGTGTTATCATTTGCGCGGAAATTGTATGCGAATTCCGACACTCTCAGATTCTATGAATTTTGTCCGGTGGTATAATCATAAAATCGATAAATAGAGCCGGATTCCAATCGGGCTCTAACGACGCGTCATCTCGATCATACTTGCGCCTCGCGCTAATTAATCGAACGATTTACGGACTCATGCACAGTTAATATCCATGTCGGTTAACGGTTGATTAACATTGCTTCGGCGAAGACGGTGAGCGCGTCAACCACGGGATTCCTTCAAGGTTCAGCCATCGGTCGTCTCAATTAGCATCTTACGTGAATGCGAAAACACCGGCTGATCATTCACGGAGATAACGTAAAAACGCGTGTAACGCGACGATACTTTCGGTAAAGTGTTCTCCGTGCTTCCACGATTGTAAATACACCTGGAGATAAATGCCATGTTGCTAGATGCCTGAAATTCTTAATTTGATCGATCGTCACGGCGATGGATTCTATGGACACTTAAAAGTAACGAGAAGCTTTATCGCATTATCGATTTAATCATCAGCTCCATCTGTTTTGATTCCAATTGGAAATATCTTGATTTTGTATTTTACATGATACTTTTCTCGAATATTAAATTTTATAAATTATTTTATTATTTATTTCAATTTAAGAAGCTCTTAATTTTTACATTTTTTATATTGAGTTTCTCGAATGTTCTTCGCGTGCTGACTTTCATATCGTATTTATTGAACGCTAGGTTTTCCAACATCCTTGATCCCGGCTCTTTCCGATCCTTTACATCCTTACTTCCCACGTTCGTCAGGTTGCTGCCCCTGCCTCATGATTCCAGCTAATCGTCTATTTTAGCGTGTACTACCAGCTTTATCTCTCGCGAGACTTTGCTTCATAATAAGCTAAGTGCTACCAGACGTCCACAAATGAGTAAACGGTGCGCCACCCGCTGATAAGGAGTATTCCGCCGCAGGAAAGAAGCGCGCCGGTATCCGCTTAATGCGCTCCGCCACGAACGCGCAAAGATACACCGTGAATAATATCGCCGGCTCGCGATATAAATGCAAACGCGTATGCCGCGGTCTCTCGGTTTGACTAAAGGATTACCTGCTCGTTACCCGCTTCTCGGGGCGCGCTGCTGCTCGCCGCGCGCGCGAGGCGATAAATAGTACCAGCTTGTATCACGGTGACGTCGACCTTAAAGACCGGACACAGGTGAGGAAACTGAGAGTCGAACATCTGCGGAAAGCTTGAAAATCTAGGTACAAAGAAATCTCGTTTTGGAGAACTCGATAGGAATCGATTTAGCATGCGGAGAATCCAGTTGAAAAATTCTTACTAATTTAAATGAAATTTTCTTTGAGACTTCGATGTAATTGTGTGAGCAGACGATGTAATTAAACGAATGATCCCGCCTTGAGTTTTAAAACGCGCGCCGTCACACGTGAAACACGGTTCAGTGAACTTGAAATATAAAGAATCTTCGGAACCAATGAGCCTAGGATCAGAAGCTACGATCTGTGGGAGCTAAGATACACATACGATACATTCTATAATCCTGGTAGAGATCTATAAGACAAAAGAGAAAGAAATAAAGATGCGGCCTCTCGGGCCTTTCGTGAAATGACTCGACACCGGCGTGGAAGGGCGGGTGGTAGGGAGGGAGGAAAGAGGGGCGAGGAAGGAGGGTAAGAAGAAGAAGAAGAAGAAGCAGCGAGCGCGGGCCGTGGAGAGGAACGGGCGGACTCGCGCTTTGGAATGCTTTGAAAGGCCGCGAGCAGCTCTCTCGGCTAGAGCTGCTCGTTGGCCGCGGAGCGAAGGGAGAAAAAGCAAAAGAGGAAGAGAGGCTGTCGAGGACGGTCTTGCTTCAATTAATTACCACATTGTCGTCCGGCCGACCGGCGCTGGATGTTCCACCGTGGTAATCTATGGAAGGCCCGCGCGCTCTGCTCCTTGATTTAATCTCCTATACGCTCTAGCGAGCGGTGAATTTCGCGCGACGCGATCGAACGGGCATCTCAGCGCGCATCGGCCGAATAAAATGGCTGGAACTCGCCAAGTGAATTATTGAAGCATAAGCTTTCCTTTCAATTCGTTGTCCCTAATTCGCGTTCTTCGATTCTACAGCGCTTAAATTGCGCGCAATCGAGTGACGCCGTTTTAATAGTCGCAAGAATGCGCTCGATTACTGACGTAACCGTCCGGATTGCGTTCGCGGACGAGCTATGCGAGGACGATGTTTGTAGGTGTATGCCGAGCTTAAAAGCTCCTCCGCCTTTCATCGCGAACCGCCTTACCAATCAGCAGTCGCGAAGGCAACGATGACAAGCGGATATACCTTCATTCGACGACGCCTACCCCCGTAGGGTCATCGCTCGTCATCACTTTGTGCATCATGGCGGTGATGTACTGCGCTGTGAAACGCGCCAGGCTCCGAGTTTATTGAAGTAGATAACGATAGCATCTCTCTCTCAGAGGCGTAGTCGTTCGTCTTTTTCCTCTTCTTCATCGCCTTCCCCACCCCCCCCTCCGCGTCCCGCACACCCTTCCGCCGCGCGGCGCGCATACATCAGCGTCAGCTTATTTCCGTGCACCGCTGATGCATGCACGTAATTGGTTAGGCGGGGTAGCGAACGAAACGCTCGACTCGTTGTCCTTGCCGCCGACGGGAAGGGCAGAAAAAGCGCGATTCGCCGTGATTTGTTGGACATCGACATGCATTTTTGCTCTCGCGCGAAAGAGCTAAAACATATCTACGTGATAAAATCGATATTGGACCGGGATTTATTTATTCAGCTCGCAAGAAGCATAATTGTTACTCTTGCTATTCTTTTAAAACGCTTTTTTAATCAGCACGTTTTATTTTTAATGACTTTTAAAAAATAATTCCGAACGGTGATAATTACACCAAATTGCATACTCATTAAAGGATTCTCTTACGTTTTAGTTGAAAATGATTTGCTTTAGAAAGAACACGTGCGACGACCGAAAGGGTTGAATCAGTGGGCCGCTACGGTGTCGAATTGTGGCGCGCCGACAACGTGGAAGTCAATGGGTTGCCGTTTCGTCGCTCCTCCCGTCGTCGACATTCTCTTTATAGCGCGCGAGAAAACGCATGGCCTCGATGTCACGCGGAAAATCCCGGCTATCGCCGTTAAAACACGCCGGTATTTACGTGCTCGTATTTCTCTTGTCGCCCCATCATCGCGATCACTGCGTCACGCGAGCAATGCGATCGTCGGCCACGCTTCTTCTTGGCTCGCACGATTTGCCGCTCGAGAATTTTGTCGATCGCCTGCGACAAGAGATTTTGACGTTCTACGAAGTGAGATCGAAAGATCGAGGAAAATCTAAAGTACCAATCGCGCGAGTAAATCTTGTATACTGCTTGTTCGATCTCGTCGATGTTTTCACAGATGTAAAGTGACAAGATCTCTAATTTTTTTTTTATTTAAAATGAGTTAAAGGTATTAAACCGATATAGTCTTTAACGATTAGTCAGGCACGAAGTAAGCAGATCGCGTGTATTCACATACGTAATTACGATTAAATTTCTCGTTTATCCACATTGAATCAATCAATTTTATTTAACAATTTTATTTTCTGTCATCGACCGTTGAATTTCACCTTATTGGAAATAGTCAACAATAGATTGTTATTTTATGATATAAAGTCAAAATTACCGACGATAGAATTTTTGACAATTTACGTGCGCAAAAATTCCAGAATAAAATGAAAAGCAAGCAAGATTATGAAAATGATAAAATATAAAGATCGAGACATTCACGTACAAAAGTTTTTTACTTACAAATGTTACGACTTTGAAAATAATAAAATAAATGCATGATTGTGAAATTGAAAAAAAAAAAAAGGAGAAATGCGACAAATCATTAAAACAAAATCGCAACAGGAACGCTCCAAACTATCAGCTCGAAATATTGTATACAAAATGAGTTCGCTTTCCATTGCAGCTGAACGTTCATCAAAGGTCTTTGGAGGCAGCCGGTATCGAGCTTTGCGGCGCCGGCGGAAGCGTTCCTCAAGGTCAGCCAAGCAGCGCGGGTTCCGTAGGGTCCGCACCGAGTCCTGCATCCCCAAGGCCAACGCCGCAGTCGCGACCACCCGTCGCAACCACCACCTCGCAACCCTCGCGGACGCTGGATGACGACAGATCGACAGACGGTGAGATGAATTAACTCTCAATTTAAACCGCGTTTCGTTCACTTGCATTCACATCGAACATTCACGTCGCAGGCGTCGGCGCTGCTAATACCACTGAAGACTCCGACGATGGCGAGAGCAGGGCGCAGTACGTTAACGCGAATTGCGTCGTCTTCACGCATTATCGAGGCGACGCGGCGTCGGAAGTGGAGGAACATTTTCAGAGAGCCCTCGCTCACGATAAGTTAAAAGGTCAGTTCTTCCGAATAAAACTTTCCCTCAAGGAAACACGAACTTTATTTAATCTTGAGAGATCAGAAAGCTGGAACGTTTTAAATTTTTAAACGTCACTTTGCACATACGAAGTTCTAATTAGAAGAAGCGTCGAAAACTGCGTTCATAAAAAATATATACAAAATATGTACGATTAAAAAAGTGATTATGACATTTCTGACATTGAAGTGTACGCATCGTTGGTCGTGCCAATCGCGGCGCTCGAAATTCGCGGTCCATCCTTCCTTGAATCTCGATGAAGTCGAGCAGTGCCAAAGTGTTTGCGAGGCGGGCAATAAAGTACACCATTAGCCGGCGACAAGGCTAACAAGCCTCGTGACAATTGTAGCACGCTCGTACCGACTCGCACCGACTTAAAACGCGGTGGAGCGAGGAGGAAAGAGCGGAGGGAAGCATCCCGAGCGCAAAAGAGGACGAGAGGCAGAAGTGCGGATCGGAGGGGTGGGGCGGGGGGGGTGGAGGAAAGGGGGAGGATTGTCAGCACGCGAGAGGGTTTGGCAAGCTATCGGCAAGCTCGTCTATATCGGTGTCGTTTAAGGCCGCATTTATCCCGACCACGGTGCCGAGGTTCAGTTCAGTAGCCTGCTTAGAATTCAAGACAACACGACCTAATTGTTACACCTTACCCCCTCCCCTCCCTTTTCCACTCTCGTTCCTCGCCCTCCTCTCTTCCGCCACGCGTTAACTTCCCGCGACCGTGCTCGTGCGAAAGGTAAATTAAGAGCTTCTGCGCTGGGAAAAGAGGGATGGGCGGAGGAGGACCGAGGAAAGACATTGTGCGAGAAGGAGGGGAGAGGAGGGTGGAGGGTCGGCATCGCGAGAGACAGTTTTAGCCGCGGAATGCCGGGTAACGTACGTACAAGGACTGAACGACTTTGAGCCTAAACGCGCGCACTGCCAAAACAAAGAGGGGAAGAGATGGAGGTCGCGAAGGGAAAGAGTTACTCTTGGAATTAAAAAGGAATTCGAGTAATTGGCATAGAAAAATACGACGAGTTCCGGTTTCAAGCAAACAAAAGTCGTTTTATTGCGCTGGAAAATAGGCAATTATTTTCGGAGCTGTGTACGCAGACGAGAGAAAAATTAGAATTTATAATAAAATAACAATACCAGTTTACCGTTAAATAAAATCGACGTAAAAAATTTTTAACGTGCCGGTATGATTTTTTATTATTATTTTTTAAATCGGGAAGCAAAAATGTTTAAAATGCCAATTAATAAAAAATAAATAATGATTTTTCTCTGACGCTATTGTATGCTAGAAAAAATATTTCGCTATTTAAGGACGAAGGCGAAGACGCCGTGAGAACGGTATCGAGATTCGCAAGTCGTCGATTAAAATGTCGGCGTTTTCTGAAGTTCCGAACACGCGGGTACTTATTGGCGAACCAGGCTTCGACAACCCTTCCTACCCGTTCCTCCGCCCGTTTCCCTCCACGTGGAACGATATCCTTTCTCTCTTCGGTCGCGGCATCGGCAAAGAATAAAGCCGACCGTGAACGGTCGACACTCTGTTTCTTTAATTGCGTTAATAAATAAAGGACAGTCGGCGAACCGAGACCGAGGTAGGATGCTAGGCGGAGAAGGAGAAGATGCTGCGAGCGAGTCCCACGAGGCTCCCGGCCGTACCTCGCGTCTGCCGAGGATTAAAGGATCATATTCGTGGTGACAATATATGGCGTATTTAATTATTATTTAATTACGTTTTAAAAGAACATATGTGAATATAATTGCGAGTAATTCTTGAAGCTTGTATCCAATTTTGTCAAGATACTTCCATGACTTTTCAATAATAATTTTTACGTTTGCTCTAAATGAATATCAGGCTATTAACAAAAAAAAAAGATATCGAAATACAGTACTAATTGCCGCTGTTCGTACATGCTTAACGAAAATTCATCCGCCACCAAGTGGGAATTAATTTAATTTACGACTCATTTGTAGATACTTCGAACTCGTGCTCTCGCGCGCAATTAATAAATGGCATGATGTTATTACCACGCTATCTGAGGTAGTAATTCTGTGTGTTATGACTCGCTTGTTTATGTGAGGCCTGGTATTTGCCGGTTAGATCGTCGTGTCGTAAAACCGCCATCGTTGCTTCCGTGTCAAAATCTATGTAATAAAAGATATCTGCTTCCATCTGGCAATTGTAACTCGTAAAAATGCAGAATGTCGCGCACAATGTCTTAATATTAAAAATATCTTTTAAAAAAGGACGCTAAATACGCGCGCTCCAGAACATTTTTATACACACGCAAAACGGTGTTGCTTAACGCATTCCTACAAAACATAAGAAACTGGCGTCAACTAAAAATGAAAAATTTGGTATGCATAAAATTTTATTCTTCCATTTAATGCGAGACATATTCAGAGTGTTTAATTGGGAAAAGCTTGGTGCTAGAATAACGTGTTAATTACTTGTATCATAATGTTAACTAATCTTTCGTGTCAGTTATTTATTAGTGCAATCTCGAAAATTATCTAACTGAGGTGTAGGAACGGTAAATATAAAGAAAAACAGCGCATTTCTCTCTCTCGAACCACTCGAGCGAAAGACGTCCCACTATCTTTTCTTTTCTTAATCTAAACAGGACCTCCTTCCGTCCCCATTGGCGATATCAACAAAATGAAGCGTCTCGAACCACTCGATTCGCAATACCCCACCATTCTAACGCGAGAATAGCCGTTTGATCTAAACAGCACGTCCTTCCGCCCCACTATATTAGCATTATCAACAAAATGACGCGCCTCGGGCCACTCCAGTTGCAGCGCCCCGCCTCGCGCGCAGATCCTTTCGCGTGAATCGTCGCCTAATCTAACCACGACCCATTCTTCTATTTTATTATTGGCGTGTCAACAAGACGACGCGTCTCGGACCACTCGAGTTGCAGCACCCCACCTCGCGCGCAGGTTCTTTCACGCGAATCGTCGCCTAATCTATATAACCACCTTTTCTTCTATTTTACTATTGGTGCGTCAACTAGCGACGCGTCTCATACCTCGCCGCTTGCGCGGTGCCCCACCTTACGTGTATTATTCTGTCGCCTAAATCGGCTCGTGTTGGATGCGCGGTCGGCCTCGCTTTGACGCGAGATTCTTGAACATATTTGTATTATCAGACTAGTGCCGTTATGTTTGTCAATATTATCTGCTATTGTAATAATGTATGTCATTGATCTACGTGTGACATTGTATTATATATTAGTTTTATTGAAATATGTCAATAATAGATCAATTGACCGGCGAAACTTTATTAAAATATTCCGTGTCGTTCCCACGGACTTCGGAGGATCTCGCCAAACGAGCAGACCGGATCCCACGGGATCGAATCGGCGGAAGGCAGAAGGGCACCGCTCAGTTGTTTTACAAGCGGCCACTCCGAAGCCAGAAGCTTGTCGTGTATCCTCCGATTCTCTCCGCACGGTTGGATTCTCGCTCACGCTGGATTCTTCTTCTTTTCTCTATTTTTTTTTAACCCATTCCCAGCCAATCGAAATGTGCGCCCGAGAGCTGCGGACTAACGCGAGGTCCACCGCGTGCAGCTCACGATTTATGCCCTTCAATTTCCTCACCGCGCGCGCGATTTCATCTCTAGAAGTCACTTCGATTATCTGCTAGGAGTGGCATACTGCTTGCTAATTTACTCCGCCGTTACAAACTACGATGATTTAGCCGATCGAGCGACGTTATTTATTTTGGCCAGTTAAGAGTGGTTTCTGGGACCGCTTGGAACTCGTTTCCGGGGAAAGATTGTCTTCTCCCGAGGGAAAAAAAGAACAACAATCGGAATTTATCTCTGGGGATCGTTGGTATTTACGACACTATCTGTCCCAAAAATCATTTCCTTAACAATATAAGACTTACTTTTAATCCTTTTATCCCAGCAATTATTTCCTTAACAATGTATGACCACCTTCAAATCCCTTTATCAAAAACTGACGTCGACATTAATGACGTATTGTTTAAACAAAGTGTTGTGCAAAATCGAAATAAAAGTTTTGTGAAAATAATAATAAAACATATGAAGCTTTCTCTCTCAAGGATTTCTGGTAGGCGCGCGTTTTCTCGCGCGGGCCATTAAAAGCTCGCTCGAACTGTTTTCTTTTTTATTGCAGAAAATATCTCTCCCATGTCCATGAGGAACTTCCCTCCTTCCTTTTGGAATAGTCAGCATCCCGGTGATGTCTACGACTATCCGACGGATCCGTGGCATCCGCATTACCCGCAGTATCACCACAGGTCAGTGTTTCCGATCGTTATTGCTTTTGTTTTTGTTTTTTTTTACTCTCTCTTTCTCTCTTTTCTCATCCGTTTCCCATTTGTTTCAATAATATGGCCTTTTTTGTCTTTTAATAGGCATTTTTTACTATCAACTAAAATTAACAAAAGAGCCAGAATGCGTATCTCAAGTTTTAATATGATTCACGTTATTTTATTTGCTAAATTATTGCGTGCGACTGTTATTTATTATTATTATTATTATTATTATTATTATTATTATTATTATTATACACTGAACAAGGCCTGATGTCAGGCCAAGACGTTTGTAAATATACAGTACTTTCTAATATGATTTTATAATCTTTCGCACGAAGATCTCGCATTCTGGCTCTTTGCGCTTTTGTTAATTTTAGTTGATTGTTTTAATCATTTGAGCCTTGCTATACTTTTAATTTCATTCTTTACTTTATGTTGTGCGATAGAATATCTACGTTCTAACGATTCTTATTGTTAGACGCGCGCAACTCCGAACAACTCCGGCATCTAATTACGCGTCATAGAAACGTGAAATCGGTTCCGGATGCTGAAGATTTTTTTAATAGAAACGTACATTAAATATGTTACAACTCGGACATTAATTAATAGAACGAGCTACACAGCCGTGTCAGATTAACTTTCTCTAACTCAGTATATTTCTTTTTTTTATGATTATACATTAATTTGCATTTACGTTTTGCGATCTTCGTGTTGGCAATATTCAGTACGACCTAATTTAATCGCTATACGCGATTAAGAAGTGAATGCCGTCGAAGGAAGAAAGCATTTCTAAAGGAATGATAAAGTTTTAAGAGAGTTACACGCGCTACACGTGGAAACGTGGAACGGGGAGGGAGAAATTGAACGAGGGAAAAAAAAAGGAGTCGCCGATACCTTCCGTTTTCTTCCTACGGCGACGGTGACACACTCGTAATTTATACGAGTGGCCGCGGCCGGATCAGTGCTAAAGATCTCGGCGTTACCTGCTCCCGACGGTTTTCAGTATTTTTCACATGCTCGTGAGCTTCTTTTTCGCTTTTAAACAGCATCGCGCTATCCCTCTTCGCTTCTTTTTTTCTTCTTTCCTCTTCCTTCTTCAGGATGTGTCATCCAAAACCTTTTTAATTTGCACATTTTTTTTGCGCTATTCTTCACGACTGAGATGAAATTTGCAACTACCGATGGCGTATGTTACTTTATGTCTCGCTGATCTCCACACGCTGTAATCGGGACAACTGTATTGGCAAGATAAGGAATGCGATGTTATTTTTATGCAGCTGCCAATACATGTATATATCTTCGCGTGCCAAAGCGCTACGTCATTTGTAGTTAATTTAAATCTCTGACCCGAAAACTGTGCTCCATTTTCGAGCGCAGTGATTTTACATTCACGCGGATCTTCCCACAATATTTCACAACAAATTCCTTTTTTTTTTTAGAGTTCACGAGTACCATCATCACAATATGGCGGCGAGCGCCTACGGTGGTCTTCTGCTGGGTGGTGCACGCGGCCTTAGCCATCACACGTCTCACCACGCAGCGCATCACGCGCACGCCGCGGCAACCTACAAGGAGTGGACGTCGGCGACGCCGTCGCAGTCCCTCGTCGACGCTTCCTCGGCGCCGCCCTATCCACATAGCCACTACGCACCCCTCTCCGGTAAGTAAGTAGACTTTTCCATGTTTGGTTTCATCAACGGCGAATGAACTCCACGAGTAGTTCCATTCTAAGAGCATTCCGAGATATCTCTTTACCTGTACGATTCGTTTAAGTGTAAAGAAGAATTTCTCTGCTTAACTGTTTGAGAGTGCGGGACGGAGCTGGCTAACATATGTGACAAAACAGTCAACCTAAATGCAAATATGTACGTTTAGTTTCTACCGCTGTCGGAACTTGACAGCTGCTGCTAAACAGCTGCTTTTTCATTTTGCAAAAAATAATCAATTATTAGTAAACAGCAGTCATTCGTCGTTGAACAAGCTAGCCGTAAAATTATTACGTCTAGTAGAGTGAAGAATAAAATATTAGATAAGTGCATAGGAATTTTTATATAAAAGTAAACAAATAGAAATTTTTTTAATATTATTTCTGTCGTAAAGCAGAATTTCTATCGCGCTAGCAATCAAATTAAATAAAACTTTGATTTTGATATAATCTGAGCTAAATTGCTGCAGATATCCTGCAGAATATCATTCACAATTCTCAATTTAATATCCAATTATTTAGAAAGTCACAAGATAATTAATAAAATAATTCACAAACGTTCCCAATGAAGCGCTTACTCTTGGAGAAAGTAACAATTCTTGATTTATCACGCCGCCACAATACGCACTGCCTCATCTGATATGTCCGCATAAGAATCGTCGGCATATCGACGGCGCATCAAAGGTTCTATCGTGTTCTGACTGTGTCGAACGACAGCAGGACGAGCTCTGCTTGAGCAACGGAATGGCGCGCAGGTAGCGCAAGAAAGATCGGTCGGTTCCTTAGATGCTCGCAATTAATAAGGGCTTAATGGGAGCCGCGATCCATACGATGTCCTCCTTCGGCCTCGCGTTCACCCACCGAAATCGTCCGCAGGACAAAAAGCCGCGGGTGCGTCCGCAAAACGTCTCGTTCCCGCCACTGCCAGGATACCGCCGCTCGCATCCTCGTTTCTTGAACGCGCCGCTCTTCCGTCGATGAATTATGCGAGGCAGAAAAATAGCGTTAAATTATGCGGCATAGAAAAATGGCATTTCTCTCCATCTCCGACGTGGGTTTTCTTTTTCATGAGGGAAAGTCGCTGAAGAATGTATTCTCGTGGTTTATTTTTGAAAATAATTTGCTTTGCGGATAAATTAAAAATCACAATTAAATCACGCGATGAGAATAAATAAATATAATCTTGATGATTTATTCAAAATCTGCACGACGCAAATTATTTAATTTATGCAACGTTTATATTACTCTCTGCATAACTCACTTGATTTCAAACGAATAATTTACTCCTCGGTAAAAGTGACAGAATCTGGTTGCGCATAGCTGCACCCCACGGGATGCAACTGCAGCAAGCCGTGAAAAACCACGCCCATCGTGATTACAGAGACCACTCCCATCTGTCTGCACTTTGGTACAGCTTACATTCACTTTGATGTAGTCACAATTCCGCGTGTAGTTTTCGCAATTTTTCGCTTCACGTCAGTTGCGGTCAAAGATGTATTGCAAGTTTCGCTACTTTGATTTTCATCTTTTTTTTTTTATTTTTAAACTCTTTTTATTTTGCGTTTCAGTTAAAATCACACTTGCACCCTCCGTTTAACTTATTTTTCATATTCTATAAATTTTATATTTCTGTTTTTTTTTTTTCTCGTCGTTAGATTTTGAGCGTTAAATTCTTCGTCAGATTTTACATTCCTCGCGCTTTACATTATATAATGAAATCCGGAAGCGAATCTTACTTTCGCACAAATTCTTAGATCCTTTGAATCCTATCTAACTTCCGCGGCTGCTAAGATCCTAGGCTGCCTGAATTCCATTCTCCTTAGACGAAAGGCATGGCTGCCAAGCGCGGAAACAGTGACATCCATCTCGAGGAGGGAGAGGAGGTCTAGTATCGATTTTGTACCCTCACTTTGCTATACGCCAAGCATCGTGCCGCAAAATGAATCCCAACCCTCTGCCATTCTTCTTGCTGTTCTTTCTCATTCGAGCGGCGGGCCATCTAATGGAATAAAAAGTCATGAATCTAACACTTTGTGTTCGTAAAAAGGAATACATACATGCAGGCGTGAAATGAATTTGAAAGAAAAATAATAGAAGTGATCCCAAGAAATAATTTTATTATTCAGTATGTGATGATAATTCGATCATAATCAGCTATAATCTTTTTTTCAACAACATTATTCACATATTCACAAATTTGACTTATAAATTATATATTTAATGTTTAAAGCAATTCGAAAATATGTAAAGCAAAATTGCTGAGAAAAGCGTTCTAATTATTATCAACTTGCGAAAACAAACTTCGACCGGCGACTGTTAAGAACTTAACAAAAGCTCGCATTTGAAAGCTCAAAGGACTCGCGAAGGATAATGGAGGACGAAACGAGCTTGAATCGGGCGGTGGTGAGTCGTTGCACGTTAAGTTACAGAAGTATCTTTAAATTTAAGTGCCGCCATTACGACGTTCTGCTCCGCAAACCGATTAGGCTCGCTGCCTGCGCGATGGCCGCTGCGCTCGGTAATTATATAATTGCGTGAAATTAACTCGAACCGCATAAATCGGCTGCCATTTACGCGGCGATTAAGAGAAATAAATCGCAATTACCGGATGACGCGTCCACGTCTTAACATGGCAATGCCTCCGCGACGACGGGACGTGTGTGCGTCATGCCGCTTTTATTTTGTGGCCTGCCGCCGCGTTTCCTCGTGGGAAGCCTTCACATTAGCTTCGTCTTTGAACAACGTTGATTCGACAATGTTGATATCGCGGAACGAATTACTCGAATTGTTTAATTCGAAAGCAATTTAAATCGAATTTTTCAAATCTGATAAGAATGAATCATTTATATTTATTATTAATGACTTTTTGTCTCGAAAAATGATCGAAATTATTACTCAACAACTTCAGATTAAATAATTAAATACTATAAATAATATTTTGCATTAGATCTAAATAAATTTGAATAAACGCACGACTGGGTAAAATATGATCCACGTCTGAAAAAATTTATAATACAATAACGTGCGAAACTGTATGCTGTCCGGGCAGATCATTAATTTTCAGAAAGTAGATTGACGAATATGATATGAGACGGGAAGAATTATTCATTCACCACGTGCACAATTTTTGATTAGGTCTTAAACAAATTAGTTCAATTTCTCGGGAAGATTAATTGCCTCCGAGATAAAAATGATGTTCAACATCCATTAATGCCGATGTACTTAAAACATATGAGAGAATAAATTATTCGCGGTACAAATATTCGCGCGACTTTAATCTCCGGTCGGGTCTGTGATCTGGTTTTAGATAAGCAAGATCAACATTCTTACCATTTTGATAAATGAACTGCGTTCGGAATGCGGTGAACCCGAAGCAGGATCTAAAGAAGCTATGATTTGAATCATATAGCAACTAAAATAATAGATTCTGAGGTATGCGGAATCTAAGAATGTAATGTATCATTTGCAGCATCCCTATGAATTCGAAAGGCTTCAGAGTTCAAGTGGTTTTATTAATCTGGCAGTCGTTAGAAATCTAAAAATTCGAAAAGACACTCGATATAAAATTTAAGAAATAAGAAAAGGGAGAGACAGAGGCCAATTAATGCGAGATCTAATCCGTGAGATCTCTATAAAAACTAAAACCCAATTTAGGATATTTATAATAACTAAGGGGGGTTGCGACGAGTTTCTTTTAATCTTTCGGATTTAGGACATTCTTCATAGAGAATTCTCACCCGGCGGTGATCCGTCGATGCTCCCGTATGCTTTCTGGCACGCGCTTCGAAAATGGCGTCGTACAATGACGTCATGTAATTCACCGTTGCACGAGAAGAAGGGAAAAGAGAGACGCGCGGGCCAGCAGGGGATGGCCAGTCATCCTCGATTGGTCAGCCTGCAAACGGAGGGAGTGGTCGAGCAGCTGGTTATATCGATCTCTCGGCTGCTTCGCTACGAACGAAACGAACCAGACGGTTCGTCGCATTGGCGAACACGCCGGATTCACCGTGTGCCTCCTTCGTCCTTTTCGCTGTAGGCAAAGTCTTATTAATTTTTTCGGGTTGGATCTTGGAATTTCCCACACTTCCGCGTTTGTCTTTCGAGCTTTTACGCGAGGGGGTGCAGGACGCGTGAAATCTAGATTCTTAGATTTCGCGGAAACTATTATTTTGCAGATTCTATGCTCGAAAAAATTCAGAATTAGAAGCAGAAAGTTCTCGTGTAAATTCGCGAAATCTAGGTATCTCGAATTATCGGCTCGCTTTCGTTATCTTTCTTTTCCTGCGAATTCCCTGCTCACTCCCGTTACACCGATTACAAAACGAAGATGATCACCTTCCCCGTGCGACCGTTTAAAGCACGACTCCGATGTTCAGAAACAAGGGCATCGAGATTAAATTAAATCGGACACCCTCGCTCTGCAAAAAGTGAGGACTCGACCCTAGCCGTCCCTTCACCGGCGGGGGATGATGCGCGCGAGGGACGAGCATTGTGATGACCCTTATCAATGGGGGGAAGGGTCAGACCCCTCGCTGTCTGGAATCCAATATACTTGAACTCGTTGTAAGCCCGGTCGACCGGCGCCCCCTCTCGAGCTCGTATGCACCGATGAGCGACTATTAATTACAAATTAAACCTCCCGAATCTCCGGGATCATCGACGTACGCCGGATGCAATATTGCACAGGTCGAAAGCCACCTTTCTTTCTCCGAACGAGAGCTTAGGTACTTATGCGGCAAAAACAAAAGAAGTTGTATTTGAAGAGAATAGTTTCTGAGAAAATCATTAACCTTTTTTGAACTCGATATTTTACATTTAGTAACTTGTGCTTTACAATACACTTGAGAATGTGACTGAATGACTTTTGGAAAGTTTTGGAAATTTCGTTGAAATTTCATCCCGTTACTCGTGCTACATTTCGCCGCAAACACCAGAGGGTGACTCCGGAATAACATGGCAAACACAGCAATATTGTTCGGGTTATTCGACACACCATTTACTAAGCCATCCCTAACCTCACTATTTTCGCGGCGCCCCTCGTCGTATTAGCTTCACATGTACGCTGGCGAAAACGCATATGTACGCGACTCGCATAAATCGTCCCGGCCAGTGACACTTATGGCGCATTATCCGGCATTCGCGGTGTCGCAGGACATATTGAATTAGAACGTCCTCCCACGAGGATTATACGCCGGCGCTTCTATTCAGGATTCTTGTGTGAAGAATTGATATAGGGATTGCTACATTGACCGCACTGGATTATTATATCTCGTCGATAAATTCTTATCGCTAATAGAACGACGGAGAGAAATTTGTGATTATTATTAGCTCTATTCAATATTTCACGTCTTCATGAATTTATTAACGATTATTTGCGCAAATAAAAACAGGACAGATGTTGAAATTATATTAATTAATGTAATTTATTAATCGACTTTTGCGCAAACTTTGGTTACATTCGCGAAGAAATCGCATGCCGCGTTTATCATATTCCTAAGAAATGCACGACGGGATGTTTCCGTTTGAAACCTCAAACGCACACAAATCGGCGAATACAAAGTTACGGGCGGACGCACCTGTTATGAATGTTCCAGCATTCAATATCGCGATATCAAAGAGCACTGCGAGATCCCGCGCAAAGGAATTCCCTTCGGTCCTACCGACAAAGAAACGAGGCATACAAACTCCAAGGAAACCGGCGAAACGAAACGTTTCTGCCGGAAATTGTCAAGAATTTCTCTACTACGCAACGCTTGTTGAAAATTCAATCTTCAAAAGTGATATTCTAAATAAATAACTGAGTCAAGGCCACGATGATCCATACAATTTGAATAGAGCGCGCGTAATCTCTGTGTCTTTTCTTTCGCATTACGATAAAGCAATTGTTTTTATGATTATAGCTACGTTTATTTTATTTAAAAGCTCGCCGAAAAATTTCCATCGCATATTTTGTACACTAGCGGCTCTATTATGATAATTTTCGGCGACTGTTTTCCTTCCTACCCGCCGATGCGTTTCGATCATTTTCCAGCTTAGTGACTCGCGATCAAATAATACTTCGCGTTCCACGCGACGCAGACGATCACCCACATAATCGCGCCTTTTGTGTTCGCCATTTGTGTACATAGGTGTACGCAGACACATGTATGTAATATGTGCGTGCGCCAATATGGTGCACATTGCTGACTTTGAAGCAGGTAGATGCGTCCACGCGCCGACACGTGCGTATCGATGAATACAAATTTAATCTCCCGTATCACGTGTTGGCAATGCACGATGTCGAAACGTCGATCTGTTGTGCGATAGCCGAGCACGCTCGCTCACGATTCGATCGAGAAATATTAAAAAAGAAATTGAAAAGATACTCGAAACTTTAGGTAGCTTTGATCGTTGTAGCGATTCCGATATTTACACTCCAGCGATAACACGTTAAGCTTTTGCTTTCAGTCTTTTGAAATAATTTAAAAATCACGAATCGCTTTAACGGTGCTCTTGCATCGATTTTTAAGTATCGGTTTTTTTTTAACTGAGACATGAAGTACCATTCGTATTGTGAAACTGACGATTTTACAGCATTCTCGCGTCTCTGCGAGCCATTTAAACAAGCTGTATCGGCGGCGATGATCTGCCAGTTCGGCCTTTGGTGTATCGAGATAAGATAAATTCGGCCGTAAGGAACATGAGATCTTAACTGCTCGTCCTCGTGACATCGGGCCCCATCTGTCTATCTGTTCGTCCGTCCGTCCGTTTGTCCGTCCGTGTTGCTCAGCGGGTGCCATCACCAGTTCTGCACCCTCGCATCCGTCATAACGCTGTCTCTTTTTTTCTATTATATCGATAAATAATTTCGAGCAACGACAAGAGACATCTTTCAGATCGAAAGGCAGTTTGAAACAACCGAGCACTTGTAACGTTCAAAGATCTTTCGCCGGAAGCTTTTATATCAGATTCTTTATTTGATATGTTGCTTCTTGCAAGCAACTACAGAATATTTTAATAGCTGCTTCAGAATTACAAATTTTTAATGTGTAAATTACACTAAATATTATACAAAAGATCGATAACACCGATAAATTTAGTGGGATTGTATATGTAATGATATCTTTGCTGTTTCGTGTTGCAGGACTCGAGTCTCAAGTGCAGGACTCCAAAGACCTCTACTGGTTCTAGGATCGAGCGCTGGAGATCGCCAGGAGACGATCTAGGCGAAATAGTTTCCTCACATTCAGAGGACGACTGACCGACTGTGTTTCGATTAGCGAGAAAATTCAGTGATGCGATATAGATGATAAACATGCGGAAATAAAAATAAAGAAACGAGAACTTTGTTGAGGAAAAATGATGACCGAGCGTTCGTCATTGTCGTGTACATAGTGTTACCTACGTCTTTTAAGGATCTACTATTATAAAAACAGATAAGTATATTAAACGAATACTTGCGCGCACTATTACCTTTATAGTGACTGCTGTCTGATATTAAAAAAGAGATCGGCCGTGAGACTGCGATCGAGACTCGTGTTTGGCGGGTACAATAGCGTAGTGCGATTTAGACCGTCATGGCACACCTAAATTTTCCAAATAATTAATACTGTGTCCTCGATTGTTTTTCTACTATACGTTAACTTTGAATTTATTTTCCAAAAATTGGCCATAAATAAGGACAAGCTATATGCATATGTAACAATTGATTTTAGAGCACGAAAGATTTGATTCAAAATTAGTAAGTAATTATTTGGTAAATTTAGCTGCCGATTTATAAGTAAAGTATTTATTGACCAATGATCTTGCCATATATATATATATGTATAT